GAAGAAGAAGATAAGATGGTAATGGGAGGGAAAGTGTTGGGTGAGAGAAAACCAAGTATGGAGGGGTTTAAACCACTTCAAAAAGGTTCTTAAATGAACATGAGCTTCATGAAGGAAGTCATTATTAGTGAAAGTGATTGTGGCAAAGTTGAGTTCAAAAGAGTTAAACTCAATGGTAATGGTGTAGAGTTGGCATAAGTACCATAAAAGAACTAAGGCTTCTTTGAATAAACCTGAGGTATGAGGGATCTGAAACAGGTGTAGAAAAGGGAACTGAGGATGAAAACCAATGGGTCTGAGACCATGATCACCTCATTTTCTGATGAGGATAGCCTGTATTTTGTAAATGAGATCATGTGCACGTCTTTCAAGTGTCTTTTAGATGGAGAGAACAGTATTTGAGTCTGAAGAATTATTCTCTGATCTTTTTTAATCTGTGAGTTTTTTGTCCACAAAAGATTGCTGCAAATTGAGAGACAGCGTCTGTGATTGTTGGGCATTGAAAAAACTGGAGTTGTCTGTATTCACCAATATTGTCCCAAAAATTTTTTAGGGTTTCAACTAGTCTGGAAATAAATCTGATCAAAATTGTGTTCATCGTAACATTGGGATGAGAATTCAATTCAATAAGTCCCCATGCTAAGAATTCTTGAAATCTTGAGGGCCATTTTAAAGGAGGAACATCATCAATGGTAAAAACTGAGAATTTTGATGGTGAAGGAGGAGCATGTGATTGTTGTAGAGGAGGGTGTTGTTCAGCATCCATTGTATCAGGGTTATGGACTTTTGGAGTATCATCTGAAACTTCAACTGTTGGTTCTGTCATGAAAATCTGAGGGAGCATCATTTCATGTGAGTCATCAGTATCATCTGTTTCAACTGATTCTTCTGATTTGACAGTATTCATGTGAGATTCATTTTTAAAGGTAGAGGGAAAAATATCTTCAATAGAGAACTGAGGAAGGTTATCTTGTGCCATCTGGTGAAGTATTTCTGGAAGGATTTGTGTAGGAGAAATCATGAGTTGTACAGGTTTTTGGGTTAGTTGTGGTGTAGGGTTTTGAGGTGTGGAACTTAAGCTTGGGTGTGGTTTTGAGGGTTGAGAAAGTGGTTGTTCTGCTACTCTTTTGGGTTTTGGATCAACTGGTTATTTTTCTCTAAATCTGTGAATCCATTTTTCAGTTGTACTGAAAGGGGGTTGGTCTAGTTGTTCTGATAGAAGAGTGAAGTATTGTGTTGGTTGTGAGGATGTTGGAATAGATGTTGGGGGAGGTTTGTACTGAAAAGGTGTGAAAAAAGGTTTTGAAGGTGAGGTTGGAGGATTGTATGGTTGAAATGGAGGAGGAGTATAGGCTTGGTAAGGAGTATCATGCATACCAGTATGATATGGTGTGAAGATGTTGTAACTCGAAGCTGCTTGTTGTTGTTGTTGTTTCTGACGAAATTGATTTTGAAGGTCTGCAAGTTGAATCTTTAGGCTCTTCATTTCTTTCTCTCGTTCAGTGAAAGCATAAGTGATACCAGTGTTGTTTTCAGCCATGTATCTGAGTTCTTGATCAAGTGTGATTATCTTTGGCTGAATTTCAAGAATAATATTCTGGAGATTGACAAGGCTCTGATCAAAGTATTGACTGACTTGGTCCAACTTATGTTCAATTCTGTACAAGTAGGAATTTTGCTGGAAAAAATTTTCAGTTTGCCAGTTTAAAACTGCTTCAGCACGAGAAACACTTTTTTGGTTTCCATATTCATCTCTGTCAGTGGGAGTAGGGATTTTTGGAATGTGTTTGTATTGGTCTTTATGAAATTCTTCAAAATGAGGGAAGGTTGAGTTGGGATAGGTTGATTGCATCATGGAGATTTGTGGTAAAGGTGTGGATAAAGGTTTGGTGAAATCTTGAGAGGAATCTGGTTTGTGTGTGGGTTGAGTTGAGTAGGTTTGAGAGGGTGGTTTGTCTTTCTTAGGATAGATGACATAATAGTCAAACTTTCCTGAGGGTTCAACAAGGAGATCAACTTCAGGGTCTCCATTTTCATATTTTTCTTTGAGTTTTTGCTAAGAAGACTTTTTTTTCTTTTGCTTTTTTGGAATATCATCATCATCATCATCATTCAGAAAGCTTTTATCTGCATCTATCTGGCATTCTTTGCATTGACAGTTTATGTCCCAATAGCAATGTCTTGTTGGAGATTTATATGCATACACGAGATTTTCATTGGACTGAAAGTGTGTGACTGAAACATCAAGGAGATCAGCATGGCATCTTTGCATCATAAATTATGTTGGAAAGATTGTTGGAGGAGGAACATCCTTTCTTTTGCTATGATCAAATTCAATTGTGATAGTACCATCCTGGTTTGTCTTGTAGGTTGGATCAAAGTGTTCAATTGGCTCATCTTGTTTCCAAATCTTTTGATAACTTGTCGTCCACGTCTTTGGGAGAAGGGTGGCATGTTCTTCATTGGAAATCTGTTTTGGAATATGAACATGTTTAAGAGTTCTGTCTGCTGTTTCCATTTTAACAAAGACTGCATCACTGGAGTGTGAAAGAGGCAAGTTAATGGCATGATCTTGAACTCTGTATGCCATCTGGTAGTGAAGGGTTGCCTGGAGGCCTTTCATTTCTGTGCCTACGATCTGGACTTGAACTTTTAAAGCATCTAACAGGGTTGGATCATGAAGAGACATATTGTAATTTGGGAAGACTGTGAAGAAGACAGTTCCTGCATTGAGGGTCGTCTCGACGATTCCAAGGACTGCATGCTTGTAATCTTTAAATCTGGTGTCCAATAAGGCCATTCTGGTACAGACAAAAATTCCATTTCTACCATGGAAGGTTAAAGCGATTCTGATAGCACCAAAGTGAATGTGAGTGTATCCTTGTTCTGACCACTGGTGAGAAAATTCTTCTGGGATCTGAAGAGTAACAAAGTGCTCTTGGGGTCCTACTGGAAGAATACATTGATCAAAGTTTATGGCTTGAACATATTCTTTTGGAGCTGGATATTTGGGTTTTAAAAGAGTTTTTAAAGATCTAGTAAGAGAAGGAGATGAGTTTGAGAAAGCTGTATAAGGATTTACAAGAGGTAAGACTGTTTGTTGGGTTTTCTTTTCTTCTGGAATATAATCTACTTCATATAAGAACTTAAGCTTAGAAGAGGAGGATTTTTTAAGTACAGGAGATGGAGGAGAGGATAAACTAAAAGAAGATATGGAGGAAGAAGGTTGAGAACTAGAGTTGCTAAGAGTGGATAGATCCATGAAAGTAAGACTCTCTTTTGGCTTTTTTTTTTCCAATTTTTCAATAATCAAATCTTTAGAAACATTCTTTTCTTCTCACTATCTTGGCAAGTTGTTAGCTCTGATACCATTTCCACTAAGCTTTAAACCTGGTATACTGGTAATTATATCAAAACCAATAACAAGGTCTTTCTGGGGAAGTGGAGATCCTAAAATCTTTTGAGTTATTTGACATCCTGAAAAGATTTGAAGGGTAACAGGGTTGCTGACAAAGTCTGTAGAAAATACATTTTCATCAGCGGTTTTGAAGAAGGTTTTTTGTTTTGTCCAAAAGTGTTTGGGTAAGACAAGAGGGTTTGCTATAGTTTGGGCTGCACCAGTATCAAAAAAAGCTGTGACTGTTATAGGAGGGGAATGTTTGTGAGTGAAGATCTGAACTGGAGCTAAGGGTAATTTTGGAGGTTGAAGGCTTTGGATTTTTTGGAGTTCTTGAACTGACATATACTCATAACATTGATCATCTGTGAAATCATCTGAGTATTCTGAGTAGTCTAAATTTGCATACTCATCATCATCAAACTGTTTTATCATAAACAGGGATCTTTCATTCTGCTCATCATCAAGGGAGAAAATTGATTCAAGATCATCATCTGAGAGATTGATACCTGAGATAGTAGCAATGTCTTGGATCATCTTGACTGATTTTTTGTCTGACTTTGGGCAGTTCTTTGAGAAATGTCCTAGTTTTCCACAGAAAAAACATTTTGAGCTTTTGATCTTGGGGTCTTTCTTCTTTCTTGCAAATTTGAATCTTTGGAATCTTCTGGGTTTATCAGCATATCTGGAAAATTTCTTGTGTCTGTGTCTGGAGATTTGTGGAGGTCTGGAAGGTCTGAATCTTCTGAAATGTTTCTTTTTCTTGTTGCTGCAAAAACATGTGGGATCTTTAGAGGAGCATTTGATTTGTAATCCTGAGGAGGAGTAAGAACAGGGCTTTTCAAGCTTTTTGGAGTTGTGCACCAAGGTTTTGATGTATTTGTGTTCTTTGCAAATCTTATCAAGGGCTTTTAGCATCATCTTGTAGATGTCTCCAAGGATCATAGATTTGACATCAAGAAATCTGAGGTTCAACTGGGTGGTAGGTAGATTTCTTAATTTTAAACAGAATATTATAATATCGTACGAAAATGATATGAAAAAAATACGAATTAAAAATTATACTTTACAGCAATTTCATAAAATTAGTTTCTTTTCTTTGCCAAATTTAACTTAATTTTCATTAAACAAAAGAAAGTACCAAGTTCTAGTATAAAATTAGAACATGGGGGGATTTCGCCAGCATGTTCAGAAATTTAACAGGGGCCCAGAAGTTGGCTTGGTCAGAGGTTAGCTTGGAGTATGCACCATTTTTGTTAGGCATTTGGGGATAATTCATGGGGTTTGCAACTTTGGTGAGTCAAACATGTTAGAAAACTCAATGGATCAAAAGAGGGAAATTAAAAGAAAAATCAGTTTATTAGATGGAGATTCGTGAGATAAACGTGCTTCCCATTTCTTTGAACCCTGTGGCTTAGTAGGCCTAATTGGGGTTTAGATTGTAAAGGTCAAATGCCTTTTTTTTTTTTAAATTAAATGCATGAACCACTGCAAAATGGTGTCAAGTCCGATTTCTACGTTATTGAAAAACAGCCAAGACCAATTGAAAAATCACTAGGGAATTCTTCAAATCATAGATTTCAGACCATGGTTCATTTTTTTTTTAATTATCCTTATGCTCATTTTTGGAATCCTTCTGTTTAAAGAGAAACAAAAATCTCCACCATGGGAATTTCCACAGATTCCTAATGGCGCTACAAAATGATCTGCTTGGTTCATCAGGCAACAGAGCAAATTCTTGCTTCTCTTTTTGCACTTCTTTCTGCAAAAGAATAACATGATTTTAGGCTTCTTGTAGAGAAATAACAATAGAAATTTGTGGTCAAGCATACTCACATGAGCTATGAATTTAAATCCAATCTTTATCTGTCCTTTATAAGTGTCATCTTCAAGCACTACATTGTAAGGAGCTGGTCTCACTTCTATAAATCCTCTGTCAGTCCCCTCAGTAATTATTCCCCCAAGGTGAATTCTGAAAAAAATGCAACTCATTTTAGCTTTTATATTGGTTGATTGTGTTAAATGGTTTTTAATAATGTCTCAGAAAAAGGGTGGGGAAAGAAGCAAAATGCATTACATGGTTTCACCAACAAATCCATTGTCTTTGAAGAATTCCTTGTCCATGATTCTAAATTTAATATGAGTTAAGTTTTTCCATTCTGGTTGTGGAAATTTGAACTTGAATTTCTCATTCCACAATACCTTTTTATGTTTACCTGCATCAGAAACCACAGTTATCATGTTTGAAGAAACCCCAAAAGCATGGAATTAGTAATTCCAGGACATTGATAGAGACTAGAAATGAAGTAGAAAATGAACCTGGTGATGTTTTGCTTCTGTATTCTTGAGCTCCACATTGTAATACAACATAGTAGGCTGGTGTTCCTATGGCCAAATCATCAAAACCAAAAAACAGTTAATTAAAAGTTTGAGCAAAATGTTGTTGAAAAAAAAATGGAGAAGAAAGCGATACCAATAAGATTAGTGTGTCTAATGTCTCGAGCTTTTACGACAAGAACTTCAAGGATTCCTTCTTTCATGTGTATGATTGTGTGCAGAAACTTGGTTTCTGTATTTGTGTTTGTGTAATTAAGAAGAAAGTGTGGTAAATAAGAAGGATTTATGATGTGATTAAGGAAGGAAAGTTTAATTCAGTCAGTTTTAGAAGTTCAAGTAACACAACATTTACTCCGTTGTTAATGAGTCAATCGTAAGATATTTTCAAGCCATAATAACTTCAACACTTCAAACAAACTCCCAAGCAGAATCCATTAGGCTTTGATTCTGTCCAAACCCATTTAGGTTGGGCTTTAGAGTTTGGACTCCACAACTCCTCCAACTTCATTAATACTCGCTCAATGATTATTTGGGCCTCAAACAGCCTAACTTCTAGTAAAAAGAAGGCAGAGCTCTAGATTTAAATCTATAGGATTTATATATATTTTAGGTTTAAAGGCTGCACAATTTAAAAGTTTTTAACTGTTTCTTATATCATCGATTATTATAGATTAATAGGACACATCAATTCTTATCTATTATTATAGGTTCAAACAAAAAAAATTCAATTCAAGAGGAAATTTTCACTTAACTATCATTTCATGCTTGCTTCCTTATAATAAAAGATAAAATTAGGGTATAAAATTTATGTATAAATGCAAATGCGATGTGTGTAAATAAACATATCAAATAATCAAATAAATTAATAAACATAAAAAATTAAAATATATAAAATAAAAATAAAAATAAATAGATTATTAATATAAAAATCACAAATAATTGTATAATAAAACCATCAAAGTAAGATTTAATGTAACTAACTCTCTAATATCTCATAAATTTTTTGTTATTTTTATTAAATGATTTTGATTTTTTTGACTAAAAAACAAAAATTAAATCAAAATTAAACTAAAAAAATTAAAATATAAATAAAATTTAAGACTTAATCTCAAATTTTACTTTTTCAATTAAGATTTAATTGTATAATAAAAATTAAAATTCGAATGTATTTCAAAAAAATCCTAACAAAATAATCTACGTTACCAGTGAGTTTTCTAATTCACACTTCTTTTTCTATATTTACATTGGATCATAATTATTCTTCAACACTTCAAATTTCTCCCTTTTGTGGGCATGCATAACTCTTTCTGTTTTCCACTTTTCCTCCTCCCAGTTTGGGTTCTTTGACACTGAAGTACTGTTTCTCAAAGCTAACACAATGCCATATGAGACAACATTTGAAGATGCTTTCCTAGTTTCTGTCTAATGATTCACTTTAATTGTGGTAGTTGGGGGTCATCAACACGAAGTGTGAGCTAGTTGATCCAGACGATCTGCTAAAGCAGCTAAGAGTATTGAAATCAATCAATGTAGATTGGGTTATGGCTGACTGCTGGGGGGGAATAGTGGAAGCACATGCTCCCCAGGAATAAATCTGGAATGGCTACTGTACACTCTTCAAGATGGTTCATGAGCTTAAGCTTAAGCTACAGGTGTGTTTTCAATAAGGAATTCTATATGCGGTTGAATGCTTTCTTATTGCTTGAGGTAGTACTTAATATTCATATCTGAGATTTGATATGGTAAAGACCTCCATTACATATTCCTTTGATTTTTTTCATTTATTTATTTGATTTATTTGTTCATATGAGAATAGGACTTTGGTACTCCCCTTCGTTTAACCCCATCTCTTCCCCCAAGAGCGATACAAGTCAATTCAAGCTGAAAGCTTGTTGCAAGCCATGTTACTTACCTTGGTATCTCTGGCATGAGTTTGTCTCTAGATGTCAACTTTTGCTGATCCTTGTGTATGATGATGTGGATGCTTTAGCGAGACAAATGTTGGGGGGTTTTATATGCCTTGGTATTCCCGTGTGTGTCTCGAGATGTCGGACTTGGCTCGTGTCGCTGCATGGCGGAGAAATATGCCTTTGGCGAAGGCTGTTGTGATGCAGTTTGTGAAAGAAAACACCAATGTAATTGGTGGCCATGTTCTGCAGTGGTATGCCTTAGGGGGTTAGGTTGCATTTAGGTTTTGTACTTCATCCTAGAGCTTGGTTCGAGCTTTTGAAAATTGGAAGGAATTTTAAAATTTCCACCAGTTACTAATCTTAGAACAGAAAGAAACAATCAAAACTCTTGCAACTTAATTCAGATAAGTGACCCTGACAATTTAGGACTGACATTCTTCTTGTTAAGGTGTTGGAGATGGTCATATGTTTCATTTGAGATTGTAAAGCGTCTTTTCTCTTCTATATGAAAGCGTTTTAGATACCGGAAAGGTATGATATATTATTTCTTTTTCTTTACTTTGTAGATATGATGCTTCTAAAGATTTGTTCCAAGTGTGACAGTTACCTTATTGGTGGATCAGGTTGTGATGTTGTTTCATGCATGTGGTAGCGATGTTGGTGATGATGTTTGTATTCCACTTCTCCTCTGGGTTGCTGAAATTGGTAGAAGTGATCCTGACATATTTTTCACTGATAGGGAAGGAAGAAGAAACCCTGAATGCCTCTCCTGGGGGATTGATAAGGAACGAGTTTTAAGGGGCTGAACTGCTGTTGAGGTATTAGTCTTTGATATAATTGTCAGTCATTAGTTAGTCTCTAAGTTTGTAGCAATTGCTATCGATACCATTGTGTACATCATACAAATTGCAGGCTTTATTGTTTTACGTTCTGCCTTCTTTCTTTGTTGTGAATCATTAAACTTATTTGAGACCAACTGAAGCTAGTTCTATTCATACATTCTTGCTATAAATTGGTAATGGATCTCACTTTGGATCTTATTTATGTTAAAATCACCATTGCCACAAAGCCAAGTGACTTCAATTTGCTATTTTCTGACATTTACTTTTGAGGGATATTTTAAACAGATTTGTTATGCTAACTTGGTTTGCTCTTTTCTCCTTCACTGTCATGCTAGTATTTCTTTTAAGGGTAAATTTTTTTATATTTTAACCTTGTGGCAAACGTAGTTATACTCTGATTATATGCAAAGTTTCCGAGTGGAATTTGATGAGTTTTTTGAGGATGGTATCATATCCATGGTTGAAGTTGGACGAGGTACCTGTGGGGAGCTACAGTACCCATCTTGTCCAGTAAAGCATGGATGGAGATATCCTGGGATAGGGGAGTTCCGGGTAATTATTATTACGATTTGAATATCAACCTTTGCGTTGTTTAAATCTGACATATTCTGCATTATTTGACTGGTTGCTTCTTTAACTCATTGGAGTACACAGGGATTAGTAATGAAGTTGCTGCTACAAGAATTGTGATTTGTTCTTTTTAGTGGGAAATTTGAAAGTAAATCTGCATTTAGAACCAGATTTACCAATTCTATTTTTGAACCCTAGATGTGACAGCTGATTTTTAACTCACTATTATATAGATTGATATATTGCTTTGCTGCTATATGTATGTTTTGCCACTCCTAGATGTTTCAATCCCATCACATTTTCATGCACGGGGAAACTTAGCCTACATCTTCCCTCCTTCTCTCACCCTATTTACGTTTACTTTCTAGAAGGAACCAATAAATAGGAAATGATGACTAGCTAGGCTTTCTAGGAATCCTTTAGAAGGGCAATATTAGTATGCTATCTATCCTGTTTGTGTTAAGAGGTGGTTTCCTTGCAGGCAATTATTTTCAAGTTTAGTGGAAGTTTTCTCATCATGATTATTAGTATTTCTCCATTGCCAGCCTAGTAAGTTTTGGTTCTTTTTGTTTTTGCTCCTGTTGTGTCTCTGTATAAATGTTGCTTGTTTGTGCTCGTCACCCCAAAAGTGCCAAGAACATTAAATTTTTTATTCTCCTCTGGGCATCTAATAACTCAAACTTTTTGCAGTGTTATGATCTGTACATGTTAAAAGGCAGAGGAAGGCAGCAGAAATGAGGGGACACAACTTTTGGGCTAGAGGGCCTGAAAATACCGGGTCCTATAATTCCCAGCCACGTGAAACTGGTTTCTTTCGTGATGGGGGAGACTATGATGGTTACTATGGTAGGTTTTTCCTTAATTGGTACTCTCAGGTACTAGTCAATCATGGAGACCAAGCACTCTTTCTGGTAAAGTTAGCTTTTAATGGCACTTGCATTGCGGCGAAGGTGAGTCAGCCTGCACTGATATATCTTATACCTGATCTAAAATTGATATTATGATTTATTGTTTGGCCTGATAGCAATCTTCTTTTTCTTCCATCTCCTCAACCCTGCTACTTCTTCAAGGGTGTTGTCCTTTTCCATCCTTGAAACCCCTCAACCCTGGTGAACTCAGAAATATTCTAAGGTCTAAGTCTTGTTTCATTTCTTAATGTTACACAAGTTGAAATGCTATTGTTTTAAGAATTTATTCTTTAACATGCACGCTTAAGTTATTATAGGCAATTGAAGATTGTAATTGATATGATATATTATTCACGTTTGATTCTCATATGGAGCATTTGATCATTCAAATTACATGAGGAAAAATTGTTGTATAACATGCTTTTACATTTTCTATTTTACTGCTTTTGTGAAATGCAATATGTTCATTTTGACAAGATCATTCCTATCTGCAAATGTAAAGGCCTTCCCCCCCCCCCCCCCTCTTTTCTTTCTATTTTTTTTTTTCATGTTTTAATTGCTGAGCAGCTGCCAGGTATTCACTGGTGGTATAAAACAGCCAGACATGCTACTGAATTAACTGCTGGATTCTACAATTCCTGTAAGCAAGATGGCTATACTGCAGTAGCAGCAATGCTAAAGAAGCATGGAGCTGCTTTAAACTTTGCATGTGCTGCACTGCCCCTTTTGGAGCAGCATGAGGACTTGCGGGAGGTATTGGCAGATCCTCAGGGTTTAGTCTGGCAGGTGAGGTTTTGAGAGCTCCTGATAATCCTTAATATTTGTTTTCCTTTCTTCTAGAGGAACACTTTTTCTTTGGAAAAACCTAGCAATCTAGAAATTCATTTGCTATATGTTACTATAATAAGTGCAGATTCTTTATTCAAATCCAGAAGCTTAATAATTGTCTGTTTCAGGTGCTGAATACTGCATG